TATACACACACACACACACACACACACACACACACATATATATATATATATAAATTGAATTTTGGGAAACTTTAACGGTGCTGCCAACTTTGGAAAAAGTCATCCCAATTTAGTGTGTTGACTTGGCATTGTACAGAAATGGACAACCATATTGATCTAGAAATGTTAATTTATTTTTATTTTTTTATTTTTTTTCCAGGTGTACAGGGATAACACATTGCACTAAATATGTAAGGTCATATCTATGTGGGATTGAGTACAGAAACTAATAAAGTATTCTCTAAATAATGAAAAAAGAATAAGATAAGACTATAAGAGAGAGAAGCAATTTAAATATGTTCAGGGACCATTTTCATCTCCAGAATTAAGGATTATTTTAATGTTACATCATTGCCTTTTCTCTTTTACTTTCCTTTTTAGTTGTATTTTAGGATTCCCTTCTTTTAATGTTCTTACAGAGATTTCTTTAACTGAAATACTGAATAGTTTCTTTGGTGTGAAAAACTATAACAGTACACAGGATCCTAATGAGATAATTAATAATGTGAAATAGGAAGTAAAGGGCTAAAGGTGTAGGGAAAGTGGGAAAGGTGGGGGAAAGGTAATAAGGGAGAGGAAAAAAATAAGAGAAACTGAAAAAATGGAAATAAAGTGTTTGTAAATGGGGAGGGGAGGAGGGGGAGAAGAGAGAGCAGGGACAAGGGGAAAAATGAGAATCAAGACCTATTATGTAAAGGTACAGGATCCCATTGATGAATGTAACTGTATTGTATACATAGATTGTACCAATAAACTCAATAAAAAGAAAAAGAAAAAAAAAGAATAACAGCCAGTATCAGTTCTGTTTGGTGATGGGTTGTCACAGTAAAATTTGGGGAGAAGGAGCCTTGGGGATTGAATCCAGGGCCTCCCTCATACTAAGCTTGTAATGTACCACTGTGCTACACTCTCCAGACCCACCGATTTTTTTTGAAAAAAGTTTCATAGGGCAGACTGACCTTAAACTCATGGAGATCCTCCTGCCTCAGCCTCCTAAGGGGTGTTTCGATTCTGCAATATCCATGGACTCCTTTCACCAACAGCTAAACCGACAATGGCCATTCTCCGGGTCCCCCCAAAGGTTCCATGGTTGCTGTCCAACCTCACTTGAGCCAGGCCTTGAGAGGAGACTTAGGCCCCATCAGTCTCTGGGGTAAGGAACAGAGCCAGCACCCGAGTGATGGGCACTGCTCTGCACTTGGGACACATCTTCACACCGAACGAATTCAGTGACGCTCGCACTCTAGGACACCAAGTGGAGGGCTGCTCCATTGCTGAAGCAGACACTGTGCAGGGGCACCTCTGTCAGGACGAAGTCACGGCCTGGAAGTCGGCCACTGACATTGCAGAACAGCAGGTGATGGTGGTGCACGCAGGAGGCTGAGGCAGGAAGATTTCCCCACAGGTAAGGCCAACCTGTAATCCCAGTACTCGGGAGGCTGAGGCGGGAAGATTGTCCCAAGGGTAAGGCCAGCCTGGGCTATATAGCAAGACCCTGTCTCAAAAACAAAACAAAGAGCTCTGGGTGTAGCTCAGTGCACAGCCTCTGGCTTCTCAATGTCCAGAGCCACTGAAAAAAGAAAGAAAGAAAGAAAGGAAGGAAGGAAGGAAGGAAGGAAGGAAGGAAGGAAGGAAGGGGGGAAGGAAGAAAGAAAGAAAGAAAGAAAGAAAGAAAGAAAGAAAGAAAGAAAGAAAAAAGAAAGAAAAGGCCAGGTGTGAGGGCATACACCTGAAATCCCAGTACTCGGGAGGCTGAGAAAGAAAGAGAAAAAAGAAAGAAAAGGCCAGGTGTGAGGGCATACACCTGAAATCCCAGTACTCGGGAGGCTGAGGCAGGAGGATCCCTGTGAGTTCAAGTCCAGTCTGAACTACATAGCAAGACCCTGTCTCAAATAAACCAAACCTAGGGCCAGGGATTTAGCTCAGTGGTTCCGCCTCCTGCCTTGCAAGCGCAAGGAGCTGAGTTCGATCCCTGGTACCAAAAAAACAAAAAAAATAAAAAATACAAATCAAACAAACAAAAACATGGCTGAGAAAGAAACACAGCTCCTGGGTCATCTGGGGCTTCCGCACTCCCTTCGGGTCTGGGTTTTGGCTGAACGGAACGGTGTCACAGAGCAGCAAGGTGAGGCAAAGTTATGTAGTAGCTGGGGTGGATGAAGACAAAAGCGAGCCTCCTTCACACCCTGCACAGACACAGGCAGCACACACGTGCAGGCCTCTGCCTCCTAGGCTAGGCCGCACCGCCATACCGGTCACAGCCTCAGCTTCCAGCGCTCTCTCCCTGTGCCCCACATCCGGGACCTCCGGTCAGCCCAGCTTCCCCCCAGAACTTCACCCCTGGATCCTCGCCTGCACCCAAACCCCCAACCCGTCTCGAGCTGCGGCCTGCCGCCTCCCATGGGCCATTTTCTCCCCCTCTGCGGCGAGCCAGTACCCGGCTTGTTGAAACCTGAACATCCCGGGTGGTTTCTGGCTTGGTGTGAACCAGAACGGAGGTCCCACCCGGATCCCTGTGCCCCACAGATTCCACGGCCTGACAGCTGGATCTGGGGTTCTTCCTAAAATCCATCCTGCCCAGCCTTCACTGCTCTGGCAGTGTCTTCTGAGATATGCAGACTAAGTTACCCACCACTAAACTGAAGTAAACAGGAAAGTGAATCTACTGCCCAGTCACCTCACCCACCCCCAAGCCACTGCCTCCCCACTGGCCCAGGCTGGTGTCAAACTTGTGATCCTCCTGCCTCAGCCTCCCAGAATGCTGAGGCTTTTATTGTACCCACAAGTCCATGAGGTTGATGGGCCGGGTCTCACTGTAAGACTTGAGTCTCACTTTTACTCCTGGAGCGTGAACAGCCAAGAGGCCTTCACGATGCTGGGCTCAGAAGCTCAGCGAGGCTCCAGGAGCTTGTCTGATAGCGAGAGTCACCCAGGAAGGAACACACCAGGCAAGTTGGCTAATAGATCTTTATTAGTCTGGCCAGATGGCACTTTCTAAGCCAAGTAGCTCAGGAAGGGCACTCAGCTCAGAAACAGAGGCCATTTTATATTGGGCTGAAGGGGGGGGGTTTACACTTAAAATTTACAGACAGAGGACAAAGGCAAAGAATCAGTTAATCTGAGCCAGTGGTCATCAGGCATATACTTGACCATCACCTACTAATGATCAGCAGATTGATTATCCATTTTTCCATTTTCAACTTAGATTACAAAGTTCAGAACATTCCACTACAGGCAAGCAAGGAGTGGCATGATTTATGTTGGGTCTCTGTGTTCACTACAGTTTCCATCTAGCCTCCCAGCTACTTCAAAGCAGCCACCCAACAATTCACAATTAATCACTAGTTATTCCATAAGGGATGGGGGGAGCGACAGTCTCCAGGTCATTCGCCGGTCAACATGGAGTCGCTCTGGTTCAGCCAGGCTCCCACATCACCCCAGCCCTTGTTAAATTTGATTTTGAGACAGCGAGTCCCTAAATTGCCCAGGCTGGCCTCCTGCCTCAGCCTCTCCATGTAGCTGGCATGACAAGGCAAAGTGAGCACTCTTTTCCTGACTCCTGAGTACCCTTGTTCCATGTTCTGTGCTGCTCAGCTCTGCTTTCTACTCTTTTATGGGTTTGCTTGTTTGTTTGGACATCGTTGTGCTTTGTAGTGCACAGTGGCTTGGACCTCACTAAGTAATCCAGGCTGGCCTCAAATTTACAGTGATCCTCCTGCCTCAGCCTCCCAGTTGTGGGGTTTGGTTTTGTTTCTGAGACAGGATCTTGCTATGTAGTTCAGGCTGGTCTTGAACTCACTATGTATCTCAGGCTGGCCTTAAGCTCACAGCCATCTTCCCGCTTCAGCCTCCTGGAGCGCTGGGATTCTAGGCATGCATCACCACACTATACTTTAATGTGCACCTTATTAACTTCTAGAAACTTTACTTTCATTTTTATTTTTTGTGCTACTGGGGATTAAAACAAGGGCCTTTGCATGGAGCTATATCTCCTGCCACCCCCATTTTAAATTTTTTAAATTTTGTGATAGATTAGCCTCCAATTTATGATCCTTCTGCCTCAGCTTCCCAGAGTGCTGGGATTACATTGGGTGCCACCGCACTGGACTTGAAATTTCGTATCTAGAACAATGATTAACTCTTTGCTACATACGTTGCAAGTAATAATGCCACGGGTGCTGGGGTCCTGGTCTAGGTTTTTGTTTGTGAAGAACAGAATTAGATGTGGCACGCAGTGGTAAGGAGAAAGCAGCACAGTTTAATGAAGTTTAATTAGCCGGTGACAGGCAGAGTGGGTTCATGCTGATGGAAAGGAAAGTAGCACCAACGCTGAATATTTTAGGGTGACGAATTTAAAACACTGGGCGGGGTCTAGCAGTCTCCAAGTGGGTCTTTTCAGAGCATGCGCAACAATGTGATTGACAGGGTCCTGAGTCAGGTCAGCTGTGTCTACTGCGCATGTTCTTTCGCGTAAATCACTCTGCTGTAATTGGATGTATGAGATGCAGTCCATACACATGACCCTTTAATGAGCGCCAATTGAAGAAAGGTTACTGTAGGTCATGCCTGAAAATCTGGCACACATGCGTCTTAGTTTGGAACTTCGGAGTCATCCAAGGCGGGCCCAGGGTCTTTTTCTTATCTCTGCTTCTGGGTAGTGTCGGGGGGCACTAGGGCATTGCCTGGGTTCAGGTGAGCCGATGGGATGGTACTGAGGCCTGAACCCTGGAGTATGCTGGGTAAGTGCCCTACCACTGAGCTGCACACCGAGCCCTGATGTCTGTGATTTTGCTTTATTATTTTTAACATACAGAATTTAAAATTATCAGCTATATGTATAAGTACATTACTGTTTTTCAGTTTTTTATTGTGGGAAAACACACACAACATAGCATTTACCATCTCCTGAAGAGTACAATTTAGCAGTGCTTCTGTTTGAATGTGTTTCTCCGAAATGTATGTTTGGAATTTAATCCTCAAATGTAAATGTTAATGTGTTTGGAATCCAGGTCTTTGGGATGCATTAGGACTCCTTTGGGAGGAAACTCCTCACCACCCGCAAAAAAGTCAACAGTTAGACTAAGGATGTAGTTTTAATTCTGGCTCATGGTTTTGAGATTTCAACCCAGGACTCGCTGACCTCCTGGTCTACTAGGAACCCCTGAAATGTTACTGGAAACCTCTTCAGGAGGCGCTGGTCTCCTGCTCAGTGTACAATGCAAGACTAAAACAATAAAATTAAGAGACAGAATTAAGAGAGACAGAAAGTGGAGAGCCAGGACGGCCAGTGTTGCTTAATTAGCAAAGACATTGGTCCATCCAAGCCCCTGATTTTTATTAGTGACCAGTTGGGACAGAGGTGAGCTACATGTGAGGGTGGGACTATGTGCAAGAATGTGCAATTGTACAGTTTCTATGGAAACTAGTGGAAGCAAGACTCCTAAAGGAAAAGACAAAGCATTCTCGAATTAGGAATAGAATAGACAAAAAGGTATGGTTGTGATTAGAACCTTATCCTTCTAGTTAAGAAGGTTTGAATTGTAGAAATGGAATTTGGGTGTGAGTTTTTCTGACCTCGGCATGTAGGCTGGCTGGACTCTTCTCTAAAGCCAGTTGTGCGATTAACTCTTTACAGAAGAACTGCTTACAGCCTGCTTTGGGCATAATCAATATTACAGTCTCCCACAGTGGTCATATTCGCGGAAAGTGTGGAGCAGTGGATCCCATGGTTCCCTTCAAGGGCACAGCCCCAGTGACCCAAACCTACCTCTTTGCTTCTGAGTTTCCTTCTCCTCCCATTCCCCACCCTGGGGATAATCTAGAGCCAACAATAGCAACTTCTCTCCTTGGAATTCAGTGTTATGTGATGCAAAATCATCTCACAGGCTGGGTGTGGTGGCTGCACACCTGCAGACCCAGCACTAGGGCATGGAGGCTGGAGAACTGCTGGGAGTTCCCGGTCAGCCTGGGATACAGGACAGACCCTGTCTCTCACGACCAAAAAAGAGCTGCGGATAAAAGGGACAAAGTCCCACCT